GACCTCAGCTCATTAGGTGGCGATTTACAGCTAAGTCAACAAAAGCTCAGTATTCTTCATTATGCGCAGATCTCTAGATCCTAGATCACTGAGTTTCCTTCTGTTAAGACAATAGAGGTCACAACAATAAATTATTTGAACCGAACATAAATCTACAAAACGCGCACCTAAACACTGAAAGTATATTATAAAATTAATTAGTTATTGGAAAATAAATAATGGAACTTTGTGTTGGATGGTGTCTGATTCTGGCACCGTCAAATATTCTTCCTATTCACCAACTCAACCGGCTACTTGAATGAAAAAGAAAATTTTTATTAATTAATTGATTCGAGAAATAACTTTACACATTCATTCATTTATATAAATATCCTTCATAAATATCCTGCCATATTTTTCTACTAATGGAATGTGCTTTGTTCCTTAAATAGAAAAGGAACATCTTAACCAAAAGTTTGGGCTTATCGGTTTTTCGATATCTGATTAATTCACTGTGTCGGAAACCATAACTTTTGAACGATGTTGAAGTGACCTTGAAATAACTCTTGATTAACAGGATTTAAAGAGAGCTATAAATTGATTTGAAGAATTAGGATTAAGAATTCGGAGTTAAAATTTAGGGGTAGAAATTCAATTAAGAGTTTTCATCATTAACTGATGTCATATAAAATGCCCAAATGTAAAAGGTTTTACTGTTCATTTTTGCCTAAAACTCTGATTGCGGTCTATTTTGGACTTGATAAATGGTGAATTTCACTTGCTTAAGTTTGCATTCTTATAAATAACCACATTAGGCTGACTAAACCATCATCCAGGTTATGAGCAACAAATATGTCAAACTACTAATAAACTAGAATAAAATCTATGCAACAAGCACAAACATTACAAAATTTGACATGTGACGGAAAAAAAAATGCTGTTTATCGCGGATAAGTAACGATATCTAGAATCCTCGACAACATGTAACATGTTCGCGAGAACCCATGGTTTAACTTTTTTATTGTCCCGCTATTTGACCTTTTGAATGAGTGAATTTCGCGCCAGAATCTAAATCTTACTCATCTTTCCAAAAACAATAGTCGTACCAATGATTTATATGGACAGTTATACTTAGTTCATTTAGCATATCTAATTATTTGTTTTAACAACAGAAATAATCAAATGTAACTTGTTGATTTTATCTTTAAATTATATGAAAAGAAAACTGAATTTTGTTTTCTTTTAAATTATAAATATGTAGTAACTGAACCTTTCATCAAACCCACATGGCTTATTTTTGCTTCCGGACAGACCAATTTATTCGTTCGACTTGAGTCACATTTTGACCTTGTTAATTACTTGCTTATCAACCTTGATTGTTTTTATATAAGTGTATGTATGCTAATTATTTACTATAAATATCGATTAACGCTTGGTTAAATCGAATTGGCTCGCTTGTGCCTCTCTGATTATATCTGCTCTGATCAATGATTGTCAGTCAGTTATTCATCAACACAAAGAGTGGATGCACTTGCGTCGTTGCAAATAATTCTTAGCCATGTCATTCAAGGTCTCTAACCACCGGTTGCTATCGTCTCGCAGATACCAACCAGGGTAGTTTACACCTAACAACATGGTTCAGTCCACCTGTCAGTGATTTCATGGATTTGTGCCATGTTTTGGTCTGTCCGCCTCTAGTTTTCTTCCATCCTTACTAATACCCGTTTCCTAACGACTGCATTACTCACTCGTTGATCCCAGGCTGTACGAGCAATTCTTTGAAGACACCTATGATCGAATACTAGTAACTCACGAATATCGTCTACCCATACCGGCCATGTTTCACTGCCATAAAGTAGGACAAAACGAACTCCTTAGCAGTAAACCCGCTTGGTTAGTAAGAATAAAACGATGATATTCGATAAATATGAAAAATATATTGTTAATTCAATTATTAAGTTATAACTGAAGATTGTTTTTTATTTCAAGATCACTAGTCATTCTTATTCTCTGGGTTGAATAATCTACAAGTTCTCTTTATCGTTACCTTCCTCATAATTGTTCGATGCCCTAAAATAGAATAGGAAGAAAACAGATTATATTAAACAAAATGTTTTACTAGAATGATTCACTTCTGAAAATTTAGTTGCTCTTCTTTCACTATCTATTTATTTAACAAAGGAGTTAGAAATGTGATCGAGTAGCCTCTGTTACAAATTCAGTTACTTCAGGGAGTAGTAGTTGATATTGTAATTGAAAACTGGATCTACTAAGTTGTAGTTGTTATAGATCTATACTTCAAAGTAATCTTGATCGAAACTCAGACACCTTTGAAATGAATCGATTATAAAAATAGCTTTCGCAAAGGATTGTTATGGTTTAGAGGGAAACTAGAGATCAATGATTGTTGATTAGCCGTTCCATCCTAGTTTGGAAATTCACAGCAGTGCTTATCCATGAGCCCTTATGGGATCGAACCCATAATTTTCAGATCTGACAAAGAACATAATATTCTTAGAACAGTCAATCTGACCCATATTTTACAGTTTCAGTGACATTTTGCTATATGGTAAGATTAAATAATTCTTTTTTAGTTTGATAAATCATGACTTTTCACTACATATTCACAGAATTCACCGTAAGTCCTGTTCCAATTAATCTAGTGCTTAGCTTCTGTTTGTGATGAAATTTAGCTTCAAATCCCATTAATCTTCACAAACTGTCCGCCGAAATAAACTCATCAGTTAAGTAGTTATACTTTGATTGTTAATGAACAGCTTGAAATTTTGGTGAAACTATGTCAATCACGATTAAAATCGGTAATTGTTACTATGGCGATGATTTCCGGCGAACGCAAGGAAGCTCTGAAGGATTCAAAGGCATTCCACTCAGTCATCGTTTAGAAGAATATTCCAGAATATCGACCTGTAGCTTCCCTATTAGACAAGTGCTAAAAACTACTGCACGCGGACTGGATGACTTTAATGATCATTTCGTTTTTACTAAAACCTATAAATGCCCTAGAGTTTTTGTATCATATTGGACAGTGTTTGGAATAGGATTCCTTCCCACTTGTCTTCTATCTTCGAACTTGACACTTGGACGGTCCAATCATTCGATTACTTAAGTTGTAATAAGAATCCAAGTTCTAGACATAACAGTTACACTTTTAAAAATGACTCAAAATACTATAAAAAATGTTTTGGGTGTTGTGTGCATACACGTTTACATGGATAAATGGGGATCAATTTTATTTCTCATTATTGCTATTCAAGTCTTTTTTATTATTTTCAAAAGATAAGTATTATGGAAATTTGAAAACAAATCCTGGAAATCAAATATATTCATATCGTATAATTGTTATTGTGGTTTATGCTACTTATATCGACAAATATAAGTAGTATGTAACATCAATCGGTAGTGGAAAACCTAACAGCAAAAGGCTATGAACGTCAATTTGAAGAAAACAGCAATGGAAAAGGAAAAGAATTGTGGATTTGAACACTCATACTGAATAGAAATACAAACGATAGAAATCTGCAAATGAAGTATTTAGTGTATGGTTCTCATACTATACTTTTGATTGTTCGCCCCCCCCCCATGTTTTTGTTTACAACATCATCACTCAAACAGAAGTGATATGGCTTAACTCAAGGAACTAGGCAACCTATTGATAGGAAGTGAAGAATTATTTCACTATTCAAACATTCGTCTCCATAAAAAACTATATTTAAGTTTATTCAGATTTATTTATATGAAGATAATATTTAAGCTGAATGATAGACAATTAATTTGATTCGATTAGTAATGAGTTTGTAGGTATCAATGTCAAAGTTGAACTTGATAGTTTCAAGTTCGTTCTGTTCTTTTTACGGATGCAAAACGTGGCTATCAAGAGTAGAAGATACTCGTAAGTTATTAGTATTTGTTCACAGATGCCTCAGAAATATTGCACGCATATGCTGGGATCACCGGGTAAGTAATAGTGAGGTTAGGCGCGGGTTATTAGGGAATGATGGTAAATCAGTTGATGAGGTTGTGAATCTTCATCGACTGAGATGGTTTGGACACGTGTTACGTATGCCTGAACACCGACTACCACGATGCGCAACGCCGACTCGTACTGGAGATGTATGGAAGAAACTTAGAAGAGGTCAAACCAAAACGTGGAATCAGTCTTTAAAGCCACTATCTCCTGATCGGCGCCATGTTGTTAGATGCAAATTATTTAGTTGAGGTTCACACGATTATCGTAACCAATGATTGGATACTGTGGGTGACATGGCTAGAAATCAATCACAATGGTGTAGGTGTATGCACTCTCTGTCTTGCCTTAAAATTGTAAGATTAAAATTACTTTATACCTTTTGCTCTAATTCTTCCCTCCTGTACTTTTTCTTTATACACAATCTTCCTTTTATATATTTTACCATTGAATTAACTACCTCGATGAATTTAGGGTTTATCTTGTTATGCTAATGAGGTATGACAACATGGACTGATGCCTGGTACTACTCCGTAGCTGACTGACTGACCGACTGACTGATAGCTTCAAATAAATTGAGAATTGAGTAGAAAGTTAATAATAAATATATTTCTTTGTTATATCACAATGAATAGAGAAATTGTATTCCAGACGTTTCGTGATTTAATGTAAGCTACATCTTCAGAGTAAATAAATAAACGAATTCAGTTAACATATGTTTAAACTGTTTCCTTTGCATCATTCAAACTTGTGTTAATTGAATTTATTTACACTGAAGAAGCAGCCTATATTAAGTTGCGAAACGTCAGAAATACAATTTGTCTATTGATTAAAATATACTAAGAAATATATCTATTAATAGACAATTTATTACGCGCATTGCTGAGGAGTTCAATACTAAGACGAAATGGCGGTCCAGTGTTTCCAGGTTTTCCATGGTGATCTAGCTTCAATTATCTCACGAATTCAACTATTAAAAGACAAATTAATTGATTATTATTATTGAGAACAATAATAATGAATATGTACCAACTTACTAAAGACGTGGTAAAGGACGTTGTTTCATTTTGGAACGTTTAGCATCTGATAGTTTTGATTTATTGTCTTCCATTTTATCATTGTCAATATCACTTGATTGTTTATCATCCGACTTTAATTGTTGTTGTTGTTGTAAACGTTCAGCTAAGGCTGTTTCATGTTCTTTACGATCTTTTTGATACCTACCAAAAACAATACATTAATTTTAAATCTGTTTCAATGTATAAATAATTATTTCTAGTGGAATCATGTTGTGGTATGTTCTACTTATATCGATATAAGTAGTATATAAACTTGCCGAGAATAGATATCTGATAGCAGAAATTCAAGAAGATCGACGAAGAAACAACGGGATATGATGGTGATGTTGTGACTTCTGAGATGGATTGATTAGTTGTGAAACTTTTATTGTTCTTCTGAATAACATTATAACCCCTTACTTCAAAGCGAAGTGAGCTATTAGAATTTATTCATAATTGAATAATAGCTTATTCTGTTGACCTTAAATATAGTTGATTGTTATCTATAACTATGTGGTTGTTGTTAATATGTTTGTTTCGATTATTTTCTGTCATAACTTAAACTTTCACCTGAGAATTGTTAAGAAGAGGAAATACAAAACAAAAAGATAGAGGATCTTTTGTAGCTTGGACCTTTAATCATAAATCAGTCAATAGACTTATCGAAATCGATTAAATCTACTAGCCAATAAGAAAAAAGATAAATAATTATCAGGTCAAAAGAGAAAACACCTGAAACAAGCCCTTATTGAATCACCCATAGATTCTAATCACTCACTTCTTTTTAGAGTACGAGATAATAATGTTTTTTAGAAGAACAATCAAAGTTTCACAACCAATCCATCTATTTCAGAAGTTACAATATCTCCAGCATTTCTAACCTTAGTTACAAACATTCTTCATCTCAAAATCATGCAACAGTGATACAGTTCTTAGTTTTACTATTTTAATTCTATTAGACCATTTTACTCAGTAAGTTACTGTTGAAATGAGTATTTGCTTATATAAGAAAAATAAAGAAAACAATCCCTGCAATCAAACAGATGAAACGATCTGACAATAGTAATAGACTAAGCCACAAAATTTTTTTAAATAAAGACTTTACTATTTTAAATATTCTCTTGCTTCCCCATAATTTATGACTTGTACTATCCTAACGTGTTCAAAACACGTTTATATTGTGGGGCTTTTTTTGTCGTCATTTAGATTGGACGATGTTTGTTGACGGGCTCTCCACTTTAGTGGCCCGATACCTGACTCCAATTAGATCGTATGAATATTTGTTGTCGAAATATATATATATGCTGACTATTCTCTTATATCTTCATCGACTTAATCGACGTTGAGTGATTAACGGTATTAAATAAGTTAAATAACGAGAATGGACTACTGAATACATATATTTTGTATATGAAGCGAATAGAATAGAGCGAAGAGAAATAACACTCAGTGGAGATGGTGGGTAAGCCAACTCGATTTAATTAAGCGTTAATCAATATTTATAGTCACACAAAAATAGGCTACAGACATGTGATGAATAGGGTAAGAAATGTACACACACATATGCGCTCATATAAAAACAATCAAGACTGGTAAGCGAATAACTAACCCGGTCAAAATATGACTCGAGTAGAATGAATAGATTGCGCTGTATGAAAGCTAGAATAAGATATATGGGTTTAACATAATAACCGACACTACGATATTTCCATAGTTGAAATCAACAGTCGATTCAAGCTAGACCACCATTGAAAACTTGGAAACGTTAGTCGGCCGTTTCGTCCCAGTATGGGATTCCTCAACTGTGCGGATTCACGATCCCGCCCACACACGAGACTCGTAACCAGGACTTTCAAACTCATGCGCGAACGATTAACCTCTAGAACACTGAGCCGGCATCTAAAAATTTTAATGTCTAACTTCAGTCGATCCATAATCTTGCGCAAACGTTCATTCACATTTATTTATTACTAGCTTGATTGTTATTATTTAAGCATGTAAACACTTTACATATACTTACTTACTTACGCCTGTTACTCCTCGTGAAGGAGCATAGGCCGCTCACCAGCATTCTCCATCCAACCCTGTCCTGGGCAATCCTTTCAAGCTCTTTCCAGTTCTTATTCATCTTTTTCATATCTGCTTCTATTTCCCGACGTAATGTGTTCTTTGGCCTTACTCTTTTCCGCTTCCCTTCAGGATTCCAAGTTAGCGCTTGTCTCGTAATGCAGTTTGATGATTTCCTCAATGTATGTCCTATCCATTTCCATCGTCTTTTCCTAATTTCCTCTTCAGCTGGAAGCTGGTTGGTTCTCTCCCACAAAAGGCTGTTGCTGATGGTATCCGGCCAATGGATGTTGAGTATCATTCGTAGACAGCTATTAATAAATACCTGTACCTTCTTGATGGTGGTTGTTGTAGTTCTCCAAGTTTCAGCTCCGTACAGTAGAACTGCCTTGACGTTCGTATTGAAGATTCTGACTTTGATATTGGTTGAAAGTTGTTTTGAGTTCCATATGTTCTTCAGTTGAAGGAATGCCGCTCTAGCTTTGCCAATCCTCGCCTTGACGTCTGCATCTGAACCTCCTTGTTTATCGACGATGCTTCCCAGGTATGTGAAGGATTCCACGTCTTCCAGAGTTTCGCCATCAAGAGTGATTGGATTGCTGTTCTCCGTGTTGTGTTTGAGGACCTTGGTTTTCCCTTTGTGTATGTTGAGGCCTACTGATGCAGAGACTGCTGCTATGCTGGCTGTCTTTATCTGCATTTGTTCGTGTGTATGTGATAGGAGGGCTAGGTCATCTGCGAAGTCCAAGTCGTCTAATTGGTTCTGAGCTGTCCATCGTATGCCGTAGTTTCTCTCAGATGTCGAGGTCTTCATAATCCAGTCGACCACCAGAAGAAACAGGAAGGGAGAGAGTAGACAACCTTGTCTTACTCCGGTCCTTACTTGGAATGCGTCAGTCAGCTGTCCTCCATGCACTACTTTGCACTGTAGTCCATCGTATGAGTTCCGGATAATGTTGACAATCTTCTCAGGAACTCCGTAGTGTCGAAGAAGTTTCCATAACGTCCTCCTATCTATACTGTCAAATGCCTTCTCATAATCAATGAAGTTGATGTAGAGTGACGAGTTCCACTCAATTGATTGTTCGACGATGATCCGTAGTGTCGCAATCTGGTCTGTGCACGACCGGTCCTTACGGAATCCAGCTTGTTGATCTCGAAGTTGAGCGTCAACTGCGTCTTTCATCCTGTTCAGTAACTCTGTTGAAGACTTTACCCGGTATTGACAGTAGTGTAATGCCTCTGTAGTTTCCACACTTGCTCAGATCTCCTTTCTTTGGAATCTTGATGAGGTGTCCTTCTTTCCAATCCATCGGCACTTGTTCCTCCTCCCAAATCTTCTTGAATAGAGGATGAAGCATGCTTGTAGTTACTTCGATGTCTGACTTTACATATGAAGGATATAATTCCTAAGTGCATTTTAAAATCTTGTTTTACTACTGATTTTGTATGGAAAAAAAGCAGATTTACATTTAAAACTAATTTGATACACAACAATTCAATAAAAATATCACATACATTTCATTTAACTGATGACTTCTATCTAAAAGTTGACTAACTGCTATATCTGTAGTTTCTTCTTTTCTTGTTTTCTTACGACCTTTAGCTTCAGTTATCATCTCATCAATTTTATCTTGCTGCCTAGCTGATTCCGATGTGAATCTCATTGCATGTAATTTCATTTTTTCCAGAAGTATTTCCTAAAGGTAGGAATTTGAAACAAACCACTTTTACTACTAATTTTACTTTTAAGTAATACATTTGCATGTTGAAATTATTTTATTTATTTATTTATTTGAACACACAAATATTGGTACAAAGGGGCACCAATTATATATGCTCCACACAAGTCACTTGATTTGTATGTGGGCTGTGAAAATGTCCGGGTGCCCAGACCGTAGCAGGTGGTTTTCTTAGTGGACCACACCCGGAGCCATTGACCTAAAAGTCTGATCCACAAGACAGTGGAGCAACGTCAGGAGATACAGTCCCATGGTAACCAGTCACCAACGACTAGTTCATACATCATTCGTTCCTTCAGGATCCTGGAACCCATGTGCACCATTGGTTTGGAATCAGGGTTTTTTTAACTCCCCTAGGTGGATCCTCCATACCCACCAACCCAGTTAAAGCGCTAGACATTCGCTTTTCGTCCTCTCAGATTCGTAAGCAACACCCCTACCTCGAGAAGGTAGTGAGTAGGACTCCCCTGTCAGTGGCTGTGTACGCGTAGCCATATGGGGGCATTTCGATAGGGAGAGCTGACTCTCCCCACTCCCGGCCGTACCAAGGTCAAATTAGCCAAAATAATGACAGTGAATTTGTATCTAAGGCTAACTAGAAGAGATTTTTTTAAAACAAAACCTAGGTTTTTAACATAATTACTGACTTTTATTGACATTATGAACTGATCTAAGTTAGAAAATCATTAAAAACTCGAAAGCAATTGATGATTGTGTAATCCTTATATGAGACTTTTCTGCATTACTCACTGATAACCTCGTAACCGGAAATACTAACCGGTTATAATTTCCTTCTTAATCGTTATACCGGCATGACTTGGGTACGACTCATATATTCATCTCGATCAAACATTGTGTTTTTCAAGATTATAAAGCATCTATACGGTTTTCCTAGCACAGATATTTTTGATACAGTAGACTATCTAATTTCAATCTTCATTTTAATGAAACATCCGCTGTTCTCAACAGTAACATTAGAAAAGTTTTGTGAAGTTATTTCTGGAGATCATTGTGTTGCTAAATGATTTTCATTACGGAGTGGTATTGGTCGTAATGATACTAGATACTAAAGGGCAACTGGTAAATATTTTGTCTTAGTATGAGAATCCTAGATGGTGCACACTTATAAGACCCCGAAAGATTTTGTATAACAGCAGAGTCAGTTGTTTGGGAGATCTCATTACATTTGAATAACTGAGTTGATCAATGCTTTCAACTTAGTTCACTTTGACAAATTACCGGAACAATCACTGGTTGTCATAGGTGATGATTATCTCAACCTTCGCATGGATGAACTTTACTGATGACAACTTCTCATAACTTCGGAAATTCATCTTAAAGCTTGTGATTACTAAACATACAGTTATAACTTATTCAAAACGTTTACAGAGCTTAATTGAGTATGGATACGGTTACCCCCCCCCCCATGGATTAACATCCACTAGATTATTATTGAAAATTTTAAACCTATTAGGTCACTTCAGTAGTGTGATAAAGATTTTGATGTTTACAGGTTATTACATAAACTTAATGGGGTTCAAGACGATATTGTGGCGACATATGAAGCAGAAAATATTGGTTGATTGGCCTTTTTAGACATACTTTTAAGTCGAAGGGAGGATAGTACTATAAGATAGTCAGTGTATAGGAAACCAACCTGGATGGGACAATACTTAAATTTCCATCGTTTCTGTCCATTGCAATACAAGCAAGGGTTGGCTATGTGTCTCTTTAAGTGGGCTCAAAGAATTTTTACTTCTGACACGGTGGAAAAATGGTCCGATAAACGTGGAAGGTAGAAAACCATGTTCATCGATAGCAAAACATATAATTAAAATAGATCACGAAATCGATATTAACACAGCTTTTAAAATGTTGTATAGAAATTGTCAAGGATGAATTCTCAGGTTGGTTGAAGCCTTGGCTATTCGTAAATTAACCCCCCCCCTTATATGTACAGGAACAATTTGTCGTAACCTTGAATTTACTTTGGTAATCCTTAAGTCATTCTATGGCTTAGGATGATGCGACAATTTGTTATTGTTTCTATACGATGTAAAATAGTTTCAATCCCCTTTGTTACCTTGTTTACTTGATCTTTCATTTAATTGACGTTTATTAATTTTCATATAAAATGCTTTGATAAGTATATGTGTGATCAGTTTGTTCGAAGTGTATATCGCAAATATATCACATTGTTCAGATCAACTCCGTCTTCTTATTATAAAAGAGACCATGAATAATCATAAAAATGAACTAACTTGTTCTGTTTTAGCTGCTTCACCTAAATCATCAAATAATTTTTCTTTTAAATATGAACTTGTTTTTATATCTTGTTCATATTGTGGTAATTCAGCAATTTGAGTTAATTGAATAGCAGAAAGTTGTTTCGGATCTTTTAATGATGTACTATAATGTATTTTGTAAAACAATCATTATAAAAAGTATAAGATTATTAAATGATGACTGAAAAGCTTATAGAACTATCAGTATAGGGTTGTAGAGATTGGCTGAGATCATTAACCGATTGATGTTAGACCAACATTGAAAACCTGAATGCACTGGACGTCCGTTTCGTCCTATTGTGCGGCTCCTTAGCAGTACGCATCCACGATCTCGGTCGCGAGATTCGGACCTTAGGTCTCGCACGCGAACGCTTAGCCTCTAGACCACTGAGCCGACCGGCATCCAATGGTGTTAATGTCTAGCCTCATCCAATCCATGAAATTGCGCGATCATCTTCCATTGTACTGAGATAGATCTATGTCTCTACCTGACACGGATTAGCTTTACTGATCACGGCTTTTCACTAGAACTCTGAGAATTCCTTCACGAAGCTAGTCACTAGTGAACACATGATAATTATCAGTATGGGGTTGTGGAGATTATTAAGTTTATAATTGTGATCATGAACTGATTGATCTTGGACCACCATTGAAAACCTGGAAGTACTGGTTTTCAATGCTGGTCGAACATCAATCGGTTCATGATCTCAATCAAAACCTTATAAAACTGTTGTCATTATCAAACTAGATAAGGCGAGGTCAGTTATTGCGAAAGTAGTTTATTGAATACAGTAATGCTTAACTTATTCCTTGATTCTCTATATTTAGTAGTCAATCGTTTATCTTCTTTAATATGATGCAATATGTGTAAAGTATATTGATATAGAGTATCCAGTCCAGTAGTAACATAATGTCAATCACCAGTTATATTATCGTAGCATAACGTGGCAAATACGAAAATTATTTTTACTCTCTCATTATATCAGAAAATAAAGAAAATATACATTAAGCCAGCATCTATTGATGAATCCCAGAGTGATTAGTAAGATCTAAGGGTGTATTTCTCTTCTTTTTTTTCTTCTTCTTCTTCTTCTTGAGTACCCAATATAATTAACGTATATAAAAATATTCACTCTCTTAATTTCTTTGTTATCGTACTTACGTATAAAGTGAATATCTCAGTGAAGTTTTGTTCTCTAACATGGATAATCTAATCATAAAAAATTTCACTATTCCTTCTGGACAATATAATCATTAAAGTAAGAATAGATCACTTCTGCTTAACATTTGTACGAATAATGTTGTCCAGGAAAATAATCAATATTTCAAAATTACACGATGGTGCTCATATTCCCTTAAGCTACATATAGTATCCATAATCTTCAAAGTTATTCAGTCTGAAGACGAGATTATAATTTATGAACAAACCAATCAGATATAAAATAATGAATCTTAAATTTTGGCATGAAATTCATTCATCCATTTGGTTAAATAGAGTTTCGGTATTATAGCTAATATCAGTTCGTGATGAAAACCCTAAATCTACGTTCTAATTTTAACTATCAACTGTAAATTATAATTCTAACTGGTTTATAACCCCCATTTAGTCTTAATTAGTAGGTGTCCATTCTCTAAGTCACTTCGGTGTCGCTCATAGGTCGTCCATAAATTATAGTCTCAGAAGTCTATGTTTATAGTTAATATATATATCTATTGATTTACATCATAAACCGAATGGTGTAGACCACCCCTTCGTCCCATTGTGGGACTCCTCAGCAGTGAGCATCCACGATCCCACCCATGGATCGGTTCGTGATCTCAATCAAAAAAGTAATAATCTCCACAAACCCATACTAATATATATATATATATGAAAAATCAAAATTTATACAAATGAAAGCTTACACTAAATTAGCGAATTTACCAGACTTTTTAATTCTGGAAACCCTCTGATCTCGACTAGGCTTTATTTCTCTGAAATGAAAAATAAAGTGTGAAGAAATCAGTTTTCTAATTCATATAATATAAATAGATATATATTTAGAATTTATGTAGCCGAATCAGTCATATTCCTCTCTATCTTTTTCTGTATGGATGTTTTGCTCAAATAACCAATTTAATTTCTATTTCTTATTATATCATACTGTGATGTGTACTACTGATATCGACAGATATAAGTAGTATGTATCATCAGTGGAAAGTAAAATACCTGGCGTCAGAATGTTAAGATCGGAGGAAAGCGAACAAGAATAGAGAGTGATTGGTGTAGAAACGAAGGAGCAATGAAGCCTGAGATGAAGTATTTACTGCATGGTTCTTAGATTTTACTAAGATGTTCTACAATTCTGTGTTCAAATCCATTCAATTGTCCCCAATTGTGTTCTCGTTCACTACAATACAATTACACTTCTTATTCTTCACAATTATTTATTATGTACTTTAAAAATGAATTCACTAAAGTGAAAGCTTTTCGTTGAATCAATCTATTTCTATTTCTTGTATCTCGAAGAGTGTATTCTTATTGTTTCCGATATGTATGATGATCACTGATTTGTAATTGAATATAAAATTATTTAATATCAGAAGGGGTTTTGTGGAGATTGTAGTATTTTCAATGGTTAAGATCATGAGTCAGTTGAAGCTAGACCACCATGGAAAACCTGGAAGCACTGGACGGCCGTCTCGTCCTATTACGGAACTCTTCAGCAGTGCACATCCATGACCTCACCCCCTGTAACATTCGAACCCAGGACCTAATGGTTCCGCGCGCAAGCACTTAACCTCTAGACCACTGCGCTGGCCGGCATCCAACGGTGTTAACGTCTAACTTCAACTAATCCACGAAATTGAATGACACATCCACCATTATCTTCAGTGAGTTACTATCTCACAACAGACCTGGTCGAAATCCACTGGTCACTACTTCTCACGCAAATGTACATTATGACTAAATAAGCATATCCCATTCAATGAATATGATCTGATCTTTGATAGATTCGCTATTTTAGGTATGGATTCATTTAAGTGTTAAATTATCATCAATATAAAGAATTATTCCATAATCTTCAGATTATATAATACTCAGAATTACTATTTAGTAACTAGGGAAATGTTATGTAAATCTACTTTTCTAACATGGATTTATTTCATGAGACGATATGAGATAATACTGTATTATAATTGATGAACACTTCGGTATGTTGATGTAATATGATGTAATAGGAGTTTTTATTGATAAAGATGATGGTTGGAAGTAGTCAACAGGAAACTATGGACCTAAGTGTCGTACCACTTGGTACTCGTCAGCAAGGTGTACATGTTCTATTCTTGATGGAATTGATGCTCCCTGAAAGATTCGATCCCGTGACATCCAGCTTCACAGTCAGAGACATTATCACTGAGCTATCCGAACTGCACGCAGTATCGAGTCAACTAGACTAGTGGCCACATAGCAACTTAGTTGATAGGATTCGATCTTCACTAAGAAGGACCTGATATGTATGACATTGATCACCATTGATCATCATCCTATCATGTAACACTGTGGTGCATACTACTTATGTTGGTAGATACAAGTAGTCTGTAGCACCAGTCAGAAGTGGAATGCCTGGCAGAAGAAGATTACAATGAAGAGAACAGGAAGCAAATCAGACAGCAATCGAAATAACAGCAGAATTGGAGGAATAATGGAGTGTGTAAGGGACAACACAAAGAAGATATGCAAATGATGTATTTAATGTAGGATTTTCAAATGTTACTAAGCTACTGTATAATTCCGTGTTAAAAAATAAATTGGTTGGCCCAACCAAGTCTTCGTACACTACAACACTAGTAACCATACAAAATGATTGTTTTATTTATGTACATATGAATACATAAGCAACTGACAATCATATAATATTCATAGTTTATGTCATTGACCTATCTTAAGTGAACAATCACTGGAAACCAAAAACCGCCAAACATTGGTTTCATTCTTGCATGGGACTCTTCAGTGATGCACATCCACGACCCGGAGGAGATTGAATGCAGAACTCAGTTTTCCAGAAAACCTTTAACCTCTATAATACAGACTTGACATTCAATGGTATGCAAGTGTGATTTCAAGTAATTCGCGATGCAAATTGATTACCTTTCATTGACTGAAGTAGGTAACTCCACTAGTCACAGCTTTTCACTAGAACTCCAGGAATCATATCCTGAAGTTAATCACTAATGAGCACATACCAATTAATATTAACACCAGAACTATACTACTAATTATGTTATATAACATTACCTTGTTGATTTTCCTAAATCTTTTTTTTCTGTCGGTAATTTAACACGATCTTCAATAATAGGACTGGTCTCTTTTGATCGTTTCAAATTCCCAATGAATACTTTAGCAATACCTGCTAGTTTTTGCCCAATTTTTGTTGTGGTGTCAAATGGTAATGATTTTTCTAACCAAGAAAAGATAAAATTAAATTAAATAATAAATGAAGTTGAGATTATGAAGAAGATTTGTAGCTCAGATGGATAATTTTGATGGCGTTTGGTTCTCTGAACTGAATGGTTTGAATGTGAAGCTTTCATCATTCTTCTGAACGACATCATCAGCACAAACGTCAGGTAGAAGTTTATGCTGATAATGTCATTCAGAAGAACGATGAAAGCTCCACAACTAAACTATCCAGCTCAGAGAACAAAACTCCATTCAAATAATAAATCAATTGTAGTTGATCAATTCCTTGAAGGAAACAGGTACATTTTGATAATAATTGCTAAATATCAACTATCTTTTGGACAACTAACAGAATTGTAGTGTTCATGTTAATAATCTATGTGTATAAATATATTCTTTAGTTTTAAAAGTGATATATGATTGATCGTTGAGCTTGAACAAGCAAGCACATAGACTATTGACTATTAAATATGTGATTTCTCCACTACTACCACCCTCATCCTCACCCCCATCTGTTATCGATTTCTATTCTCGAATCACTAAGTATGACTGCTCGTAATTGTATTAATTCTTGGTAAGCTTAAACTGAAAGCAAGGATAGGAAGCTATTCCATTTATCACAAATCTGTAGCTTATTTTTGTGTGACTATAGCTATTGATTAACGCTTGGTTAAAATGAGGTTGGCTCACGAACCTACTCCACTGCGCGTCATTTCGCTCTGCTCTCTTCTTTTCTATTCTCCGATATTTTGTCTGGGTCAACGATTGTATGAAATATACGTATTCAAAATTCATTCTCATATTTGACTTATTTAATTCCATCATTGACTAACGCGACTTAAGTCGATGATTATATACGAGGAATGACAATATGTATATCTCAATAGAAATCAGAAACGATCTCACCGGAGTCAGATCTCGCGCCACTAAATAGGTGAGCCCGTCGTACGATCTAAATGACGACAAAATAAAAGGGCCCCACTAAAACGTTTCAATACTTTACTGTAGTTAAATGACAGAATAGTGTAAATTTATTATATTAAAACGTGTAAATACATACGATATTTAAATTTAGTGACAATAGTCTAAGAATGAATATGGCTTCAAATATTGTCTTATATTTTATAAAACGGTATTGAAATATCAAATTGAAGCCAATAAGTATTGTTTACAAACTTAATTTAAAATGAGAAGGGGTTTTGTGGAGATCGTAGTAATTCCAATGGCAAAGATCATGAGTCAGTTGAAGCTAGACCACCATGGAAAACCTGGAAGCACTGGACGGCGGTCTCGTCCTATTATAGCACTCCTCAGCAGTGCGCATCCATGACCTCTCCCCCTGCAAGATTCGAACCCAGGACCTACTGGTTTCACGCGCGAGTACTTAGCCACTAGACCACTGAGCCAGTCAGTATCGAAAGGTGTTAATGTCTAACTTCAACTAATGAACAGATAAGATTAGAGACCATGTGGACAGTTGTATTTTTCAAGTTAAAGACGTAAAAACAGTGAGTAATTGTCAATTCACATAGGATTGAATTCAAGACCTATAGATCACACAACCGGCAAGATGGTATTCAGTCAAATGAGTTAACAAGTAATAAACAAACTATTATAGATAATTTGCGTGAATATTCCTATTTGATATTTAAGACTACAATTAATCAGTCCCAGGTAGGACGAAATGTACGTCCTGGACACCGTTGTCATACAACATCCAACATTATTTTTAATACGTATAAGGGATAAAAGTTGACACATGATAATCAGACTTACATAAATCGCATCGTGATATATAAAAGCTTATCGCTGATTACTTATATTTCGTTTACTAAATTTAAGAACTATGAATTTCCTGATATGTAGATCACAAAATGTTTAGCAATAATAAATCTCTCATTAAAATTTAGCTTCTGAAGTAAACTTAGAATTTGCATTAGAAATCGGCCCGTAACTAAGTTGAGTTTATTTGGTGACAGAGAACCAGACATTTTCAAATATAAGTTCTTAGTACTTATTTTTGTAATAAGTAGTTTGACATTTACATCAAAACTTACCCTCAACAATTTCCGTTTCCACATCAGTAGATAATAATTCATTTTTAATATTTGCCAGAAGGTTATCCAAATCCCCTCTTAGCTTACGATATAAATAAAGTGTGATTTCAGACTCTCTATCAAGTAAAATATCAGATCCACGAAGGAAATCAAACTGAAGAACAAAATAGAGACCAAATAAATGTGCAATTAGAAATTAATGTAATTCAAAGAAAACAATTTGATTTATTATGTGGAAATAAAGTAGCCACATAAGAATATTTGTAAAAGATAAAAACCAGTTAGTACCAGTTAGCCATCATCGCTGACTGACATTGTGCAGATGTTTACTATCCCTGATAATCTCGAATTATCACTACTACACTCTATTTTAGGGATTTCTGAAATCACTTTTTGTCGCTGACTCGTCTTAGAGAACCACGTAAAACAGAGGAGCAGTGGACCTATCACACGATCAAGCACAAAACCTTCAGATTTAGTGACAAGCGCTTATCCCTCAAAGCGTTGAGTGTGGTCGTGGGTGCGTATAGCTGAAGAGTTCCATAATGGGGTGAAATAGATGTCAAGCAATCCCTGATTTTCATTGGTTGTCTGACAAAGATCAGTTTGTGATGCAAGCTATCAGTTTATATCAAATAATCACAGATTAGTAATCAATGTTATAGTGTCTGGTTCCCAATAATCATAGAAATCCGTTGATCAACTTATATACTTTATTCAACATGCAGTCATCGGTACGATTTAATGTATAAGCTTTCCTGTCGAACCATTATACTTGTTGGAGAATTACAACGAATTAATAATTCGGGTACTCACTATAAATTTTGTTAGTTTTTAACTATTTATGTCATGAAAACCTACGATAATATCATTGACATTCAGAATAAATTTGAAAGCTATTGAGTGGGTGATTGGTACAGTAGTTCAACTTAGCTATAAAAAATAAGAATATAGATTCTCAGTAATAATTAACGATGGTCATAATACTAACTGTGAATACAAAATGCTACATAAAAACTAAGAAACTTTGTTGTCTGCTATACCAACCCTTAAAAGAGAACTAACCAAAAGCATAAAGAAAACATTGATGATGTGAGATCAGACAGTCAGTCAGCAACAACGTAGAAATTCTTATGTACGTACATCAGTTCAAGTTGCCATACCACATTAGCACAGAGGTGCAATTTTCAATTCAAATCCCGTAGTGGTATTAGTAGCAAAATTATAAGCAGTAATTAGAAACATTAGGGTTTGAACATGTTATTTAAGTAGTATAATCCAGTGAAATAAATTTAGAAAGAGAAAAAAAGGAACATGAAGAATTCAGAAGATTAGAATTTAGAAGAACACAAAGAGTGGATGCACTTGCGCCATTGCAAACGATTTTAAGCCATGTCATTCAAAGTCTCTAACCAACGATTACTATCGTCTCGCGGATCCCAACTAGGTAGTCTACATCGATCAACATTGATTTGTGCCATGTTTAGGTCCGGCCGCCCCTACCTTTCTTCCAGTCTACTCCTACATCATGAAACACCGCTCGTCGGGGCAGTCGGTGGTTGGGCATACGTAACACGTGTCAAGTATCACTACTTCATCAACTAATTTGCCATCTTTACTTGACGTGAGATAGAACAATACTAATGTAAACATTAGAATGAGATGTAAAATATAAATGGATTATTGTTTAAGTCAAAGATCGATCCTCACTACAATACAATTTTGATCATTTGTATTAACGATAATACAACTAATGACAATCAATCAGTATGCACAATTCATCATTTCACTCTATTTATCTATAATGATTGAACATATCAGAACTATACTATTAACTAACTACAAATGTAAATCCTTTAAATCAATGTATAACAATATTACCATATCATGTCTCTATGGAATTCATTCAACAACACATTAAAATATCATAACCCCTATGTATAGTAAACAAAACAAATAGAAAGGAACTATTAACTGACCTGTTCAAAAACTGGTAATTTTGATAAACGATTTTTAATTTGTAAATCAGTGAAAGGTCTTCGTCTTTCTAATTCCGTCATCATCATCATCATATATATATCACATGTACATTTATGTAGATGATAATTATAAAATAAGATTCTTTAATGATAAACTAAGATAGATAGAATTCAAATTGAATGGTATACGGATAATTACAGGTTGATTATGTATTTATATAGTGAATTAAACAATAATAATAATAATAATAATAATAATAATAATAATAATAAAACAATCAATTAATAATGAGCTAAACAATAAAATAACATTGATATAATGAATAGAATATTAGTTATTTACTTTACTCGGTTCAAAAGTACAAGTTACTATGGTTACATAACTATTAAACATTTTTAAATAAGATTCTACTGTAGAAATATATATATATATATATATATATATATATATATATATATATATATATATATATGAAGAATTCTAATAACTAAAATTGATAATAAACAAAGATGAATGGTGGTTAGTAGTGGAATCCAAGACATGTGTTACATCTTATTTTGGACTCGTCAGCTGGATGTACTTGAATCGTAGAGTTGTTGTTCACTTTGAGAATTGAACTCAGTACTATTCGTTTCAAACTGGTTGATATAAGCTTATAGGTTGCATTAAAGGTGACTATTAGGATTTAGTAGTTAAATGAATAATGCGATAGTGTTTGAAACGAACGGTAATGGGTTCGAGTCCCAGAGTGAACATCAACTCTACGATGTAGGTACATCTGGCTAACGAGTCCCAACTAGAGCGAAACGCTGTTAGCCACTATTCATCGTTGCTTGTAAATCTTATGACTTAAGGCAATACGCACAGGATGCACATATACCAATATGAAACTGATCAATTGCAGTCGTAAACATCAATGAGAAGATTCAAACAAACAGTACCAAGTGAATTTAAAACTGATATTTTTAAATAGTAAATTTACAGTCGTAATTACGTTGATATAAACTGAAGGCAACATTTGCAAGTAGTAAGAGTATATTATTTAGAAAGACGTTATTAATTAACTATTCTACTGGAACATTTGTCAAAATGTTAATAATGTTAAACTAGCGATACATGTTTGGTCATAACTGACATCACTTTAGAGCATAGTATTATTTTCGGAATATATGTGTTATGTTCAAAGGCCCGTCAAATATCGCGTGACTAAATCGTCAATTAGGAAACTGACTTATATGACCTTGGCACTGTGCCAAACCAATAACTAGTACGGGGAGCCTACATTCAACTCTAAGTCCTTATTGGTTCACTTTGTCTTGCTTTTACCGTTCAGTCCAGAACATAATCACAGCTTCCGCTGTATAAATCATGTATTTCAGACATACACAGTTTACATAAAAGCAAACCAGACCTCAACACACCATGAAATGGAAAATAACACTTATACAAGATTATGCCAAAAGTGGCTGTGAGTGTGAGAGACAATAACTAATCGATTGAGAATAACTTAAGAATAGTAAATCGTATAGTAGTAACCAATAGGTCGAATGAAAGCTTATAATAAGGAAAATAGTTCTAGTTATCCGATAAGATTATATGTAATAATAGTCCATAAACAATTCCAAGCAGTTAACATTCATTTATTCATCGTTAGGATATAACAATATACATTAATAGTCATCAATCTTATAACCATAAGGTTACTCTTAATATGCCAAGAAAGTGACATGACTACAAGATCATAAAAGTTTTGAAATAATCGATGTCACATAGATTGTTGTTATACAACGTTTACAGATACAGCATTAACTGCGGTTAATATTGTAAAATGCTTCTAATGTAGGTGATGTTATCCAATATGACTATTTTGCTATATTCAAATATCTAGATAATTTTTAGAATCTTGGCAGTCATAGAAAGTCGTCTAGTTAGAAGACTAAGACGTTATTTTTGCGAAGACAGAAAATACGCAGTGTAAAACAAAGTTATTCCAGTCTAATTTTAACCACTGATTGATGGTGAAAAGATATTTATTACTTAAACAGATACTGTATTCATTAAATTTTTAAAGATCACATATTTAATAGTTGAATTCATGAGTCAATTGAAGCTAGGCCACCATGGAAAAGCTGGAAGCACTGGACAGCCGTTTCGTCCTGCTATGGAACTCCTCAGCAGTGAGCATCCACGATCCCCCCCCCCACGAGATTCGGTCTTGCGCCAGAACGCTAAGCCTCAATACCACTGAGTTGGCCGGCATTCAACGGTGTTAATGTTTAACTTCAACTTATTTCTTAATATATTCCGATTAATTCTTGCATTTCATGTATAGACGTGAAAGTAATTATGCTCTAGTTTAACTAAATCACTTCATAATTGATTTAACTAGTTTTATACATGAAAACTGAGTACAATTTGTTTAAAATGGTTTGCAGTATAAACAGGAAGTATTGGGAAATTATAAATCTATAGACATAATCAACTCAGATACGGGAATATGTCCCAATGTGGTTCTACAACGGTGATAGGAAAGTAGTTAGAAGTTCAATACATGAACATCTAATCGACTGTAAACATCGTGCTGATCCACTGATTGATTTTAAGGTTGTATATATGATTCATTCAAATCTACCTAGATTTCTTCGTATTCAACTCGTGAAAATAGCTGAAGCTTTTACCATCCATGAGCTTAAGCCAGAAATATGTGCACAAAAGAAGTACATCCGGCGAGACTCTAATTTAGGGACGACCTTTGAACGAATTTTAAGTGACCTTGAGAATATGCGCCAATCAGAAGACAGTTAGTATAAAGTAAAAATATATTAGAAGAAACTTAAGATTTACAGTGGATATACTTCTTTTATATGATTTAAAAACTTGTTAAGATTTGATAAAGGTTCAGATGTTTTAAAATCATAGTGCGTGCGGTATAAAAATTCATTCATATGGCTCCATAATAGTCGACCTCTGGAGCCGTGATATGGTCTTAAAAATTCCTTTAATCGTGACCACATGGCTTCAATGTTGTTCGTATGAACGCCGGTTGTTGGGTCAACGAAATTACGTTTGTGGACTACTACGTGGTGGTCGTATCCAAGTCGATGAAGACATCTATATGCTCTCCAGTCAACCGTTTATATCGTGGTACTAGGCAGCACATATTCCTGTATTATTGGTATTATTGTTCTTGCTTGACGGTTTGTGACTTTCTGGAAATGTCTTTTACGATTTGGTCTATCATAAATACCAAGTGCCTGTTAAGTATATTTACGAAAATGCTACTTACCCAATCTTCTTTCACACTACGTCCCCTGTTGTATTTTCTCTTTTTCACAACCGTTTCATCTATCTCTACGATAAGTCCTACCCCTCCAAATAATTGGTGTATGCTAGTCATTTTAACTGCGCATATATCACGGCAGCATTCATACCATTGAACTGCTGAGGTCTCGGTAACATCTGCGAAAGCCGCAGCCAGTGTCACTTGTGTCTTTATAACCCAATTAGCAACTATTATCATGATTTGTCTCAATCTCAGGCGCGATCGAGCAAAGAAAGTCCCTGTTCAAGCGGACTTTTTCCTCCAACATGAAGGACAACGGAACATAATCTCGCCGTGGTGGTCTTCAGACTTCATTGCAGTCATTTCAGAACCGCAGTCACACATACAAGAACTTCGTAGTAGTCCCATCTCTTGTAGCCTTTCAATAATAACCTCATCTCTAAAATCCGCCGTAAACCGATCGTATGTCAGCATCATGAGTTAAACTTGGCTCCGTGACCTTGAAATGGCTCAAACGCTTCTGATTGGCTCGTCCCTAAATTAGAGTCTCGCCAGTACATCCTATTGTTATCGTTACCTTGACCTTAATTCATGATTATTGCATTTCTCCCTTTACTTATGTCTCATTATTTTATTCATAATTTCGATAATGTAATAAGAAGACGAAGATTATCAGATCTATGTGATATATTAGCGCAATACATTTCGAACAATCTGATCACACATATACTTGTTAAGAGCATTTATATATAAAAATAAATGGTCAACTAGACTGGAAATGGGGTAAGAGGAGACAAGAGTAATAATAATGTGAACGTAATTTGAAACCTAATCACTCTGGTTAATAAGTCAATATTATCACGGTAGGTTTAAGGTGAGAACAAACTATTTTTCAATACACAAAGGGAGTTTGGATTTTTCATATGGCTAAGGCTTCAATACACCTTAGTATACGCCCTTTTACATTTTTATACACCACAAAAGTTCAGTTAAGATCGATCTTATGGCCTATTTCAATTATACGTTTAACAATAGAGGATGATGGATTTTGATCCTCTACTCTTATTGCGTCACTTGATTCTAGTTGTTTCTGCAACCATTTTGGTACATGTTCACACACCCTAATTTTGTGATCATAATTGCACATGATATCACTTCATTTATTTCGCACCTATATTACCTTTAATTATTGCAACAAAAACATTTTATCAGAACGGTTTTTGTAGAGATTTTAGAAATTTCACTAGTTGAAATCATGAGTCAATTGATAGGTTCTGGGTTCGAATCTCGTGGGGGGCGGGATCGTGGATGCGCACTGCTGAGGAGTCCCCTACTAGGACAAGACGACCGTTCAGTGCTTCCAGATTTTCCATGGTGGCCTAGCTTCAATTGACTCATCATTATATTATATTCACGCTATAATTCGTTACTAACTTAAATCTGTTGTTATTATCCACAATACGTAATCTAGTATTACAATGTTTCTATTGCATCATTATGGTTATTCCTTGTTCGCATGTCTTCAGGGAACTAGTACTTTAACAAATAATAATTTTTCATATAGATACGATTGTACAGCTTGATAATAAATTCGTTGAAAAGAGATCCCTTCGCTGAACTTCTTATCTTTAATGTTTAAATGAGAATTATCTGTCAATTAACCAAGTAAGGTGCGATGAAGTTACTTATGGTGCAAAAAGAATTGATTGAAGTCAATCACTGAAATATGATCCAGTTGTACAATGTTATTGTAGCTACCACGAGACCTAAGTGTACACTGTTGAAGAGTATCAAAAT